TATATTACATTTCTGACTGTATATCCCTGTAATTATTACACACTGTAGCTTTAAGGACCAGCACCAAATACCCTATATAATGATTCTATGACCCCTTTAACATGGCAGACTCTCAGCAGGAACACACAAACGAAGTGTTAGTGCTTATGGTTAGTGTTTAGGGGCCGGTTTGGGATTCTGCTTTTCTTTCAAACACAGCGATGGAGAGTTTTTATGGCGTCCTTTGAATGGCTAGTCCATGTCTTCATTTGCTCCAGTTCCATCCACATTTAGTTTAAGCAAAGTATGGATGAAATAGCACTTTAATCATCAGTCATTATTTCACCACCAAGACCATTTCCACATTAATAGATATAATAATGTTTAAATATATACCTTTCAGAAATTAAAAAGTAAAACTTTCATTAAAAAGCTTTTGCTGAACTGCAATCATCAGAATCAGCTGTCCTGAAGCAGTGAAACCTCTAAAACCTGCAGGACAGCGTCCCCAGAGGGCTGACTTTGTGCAGGGCTCCATTAAAAGGCCTTGGCTTTGTTTAGGGGCTTCTTTTATGCAACTGGCACGGGAAACCTAAAATCTATAAATTCTGAAAAACTACAAAGGCTTTGTGCAATATTACGCATAGCTTATTGTCAAATAGCTTGGCTTTACTGTAGCTACAAGTCAAGGGTCTTCAATCAGTTTAATGACCTATATGCACTCATGAGAGGTTGGGGTAAAGGCATTTCCTAGATCTTAAACCTGATGAATATGTATGGAGTTGTATAATGGAGAGGTAATCTGAGAAAGCCAATGCATTTTACTGTCAAAGAATAGGCTACCTAAACTTCCTTTTGTTACATGTATTCTTAAAATGTAATCTTTTGTTGGCAGAGATTGTGGCTAAAAGGGCCAAAGACAAAATTACAAATTAGGGATGCCATCGATACCTTTTATAATAGATAAAATACTCATTAGTTTGATTACACAAAATATTTGACTGAATCAATTCTCAAAGCTATGGATTTTCTTTAATATGGGATGCAAATGAACTCCTGTCAGTTTTAAGTTATTGCAGAGGTATTTCTGTTTATGATCATCTTTTTTTGTCATTACAAATTTGACATTCCAAAGAAATGTTTTCCTTTGTGTTGAAAACATTAGAGAGCAATGAGCAGCTTACAGTATCTTGTTCGCAATCTGGGGATAAGGGTTCTGGTCAGGAACCCAGTGTCATGGTTTTGGTTCTGTTCAAGTTTTAACTCTGAGTTTTCCTTGGTCTTATTTCCATTCTTGTGTTCTAGTTATTTTGATTGAATTTAATTTCTTAGATATTACTTGTTTGTTTCTTGTGTCAGTCTCCTTTTCCCTAGCTCCCTTCCTGCCTCTGTTCACACCTGCTCCCAAGCATCTAATTAGATTCGTCTTTGTTTCTCTCCGCCATATGTTCTCCTCCTGTTCAGTCACTGTTTGCTGGTTTGTTGTCATTTTTTGCCCTCTTCTTGTTGTAAGTATTCCTGGTTCTCTATTTTTGTGGATTTATGTTTCGTATTTTTTCTTCAGTTGAACATGTTCACTTATTAAATATTCAAGAAAACACTTCAGCTTTTTATGTCTGCATTTGGGTCCTCTCAAACTTACACCCCTCACCGTGACACCCAGATTTTAAATCTGAGGCCTTCAAACTAGGTAACTGCAACTGCAGACTGCAGGTACTTTGTTTAAACAACCAGGCCATCATTTACCTGATAAGGAACAAGTTTTTTTTTTCTTTCAGTGTATATTGGAATCTGTAAAATATTGGGGCATTTGTTAAAAAGTCCTTTTTTTTATATGATTATAATGCTCCACTGTATATTGAATATGTGATTTTTTTTCTTTTTTCTAAGCTTTAATGACATTTTATCATCATTCTTCTCTTGATATTAATACTGCATCAACAAATCTGGCTCCCCACTAGGTATTGCAGTAATGCAAATGAAACTAACGTGATATAGAGTGCAATGGGCATCGCCGGGCTTAGAAGGATGATGTAGCTCCAGTAGACAAGAAATCCAGTGTATCCTGGGTTGCTGTCGACGACCAGTGCTGAGAAGACCTGTGTTTTGCTCATGACCTGATATGAAAACACTCCACCACCAATGGCAAGGAGTAGAGCAGCGAGCAGAACCGACAGCACAATCTGATAAACCAAAAATAAAAGCATGAAATAATTATAATACATCCAAAATTGTGCCCATTGGTTGTTCCTCCTGCCTTTCAGGTACTCACCCCAATCACAACGTAGTTGAAAACTCCCTCCAGTTGTGTCCTTTTCACTCTGAGTTTCCCACAGTTTCTCAGGATCTTTGTGTCTGCGCCTGGGATAAAAAAAAAAAAAAAAAAGTCATCATGCAACCTCTTCAGCACACCAAGTCAGAGGACCATTCTGGGTTAGAGTTCAGGGTCTCTGCTGATGTAGCCTAGAGCAACATGCTGAATCCCTGTAACCTTAAGGGGATGTGTGACCCCCAAGGTGAAGGTTAAGGGAAGAAAAAAAATGAACCTCACATGGATCAATAAAGTATAACATTATGTTTTCCAGAGATAATCTGTCAGACTTAACTAAACTTCTAAAAAAACTAAAGTTCATTTGAAAATTGAATATATACATTCAGCATCATAATACATATGTTATAAATAACCAAATAGTAACTTGTCAGCTTAGTGAATTTATTGTAGGTGTTGCCCAGTGGTTCAAGGATACTGCTTCGTTCTTTTAAGACTAAGCTGAGAGGAAAATGTAGACAGTTTTTGATAGATGCCAGTCTCTAGATAATCTTTATTGCTTGAACCCTTTAGTTATATCTGGTGGGGTCAGTTGGCATTGGTGCCTGGCCTATGATCTGATAAACAATCCCTTAGGCTATGTTCACACTACAGGCCTTAATGCTCATTTACAATTTTTTTGTGAAATCCGATTTTTTTTGAATTGCCGTTCACATTTCCAAATATATGCGACTTCTATGTGATCTCCTGTGTGAACTACACTCATACAATGCAAGTGTCCTGCATGTGCAGTAGAGGACACAATGATAGTAGAGGCCAGCACGCACTGTGTTTACGGAAGTAAATATGGATGGTAGTGCCGGAGCGCATCTAGCAGTCTTTTCCAACCATTAAAACACAATTTTTTCAAGATGCTTAAACATAAATACTGCTCTTCGCATCATCAACCGCCATGGTTGTTGTTTTTCTTGCCACTTCTTTATAGCAAGACCCAGAATAGTGACCTTTGTTGGGTATTAATGCCGTTCAGGTTGAATGGATGCGACCTGGCCGTTCAGACACAGATTGCATTTGAAAAGATCAGATTTGTATAGCATCGACATAGCCAAGTGGCCTGGGTCGCATTGGAAAAAATCGGATCTGTGTTGTTCAGACAGCCATGAAAAAATCAGGTACAGGTTGCATATGGGCCAAACAAATCTGATTTGGGTCACTTTAGGCTGCAGTGTGAATGTAGGCTTAGAGGACAGAAGGAAAGTGTATTTATAACCTCCAAGACTAACTATTCAAAGACAGAGCTGCAAGAGGTAAGCGCTTAGTGCCATAAACAGAAATACTCTGTATTCTGAATATGGCACTAAGTGAAATGAAATTTGTCACTGAGCTGAGCAGAAAAAACATAGCAGAAGGTAGATGATCTGCTGATCTGCTTAACAGCAGCTAAATTTTGTTTAAATTTTTTTTCTTTTTTAACCCTTTGGAATAAAGAGATCAAATACTCAATTAAGCAAAAAGTGACATTTCCTGCCTATGGATGGAATCTGATAATGAATTTAATAATTCATGTTTTAGTTGCTGACTATACAACAAGAAATTTCAATGAATCACAAAAACATGTATGAAAGCTTAAAGCACAGACGGAGAAATTTGCATATACCCCTGTAACAAATATCCCCGTAATAAACATCCAATAGAGAATTGGAGCTCAACCATACTCAATTTCTTCATTTATCTAAAAGTTTCTGGTGTAATTCTGTCTGGTTATTTGACCAGTTTTATTGGTGGAATCGGTAAAGTTTTAGCTATTTTATGTCCACATCGGACCACGGTAATAATGATAATTTTTCATCCATGTGACCCAAAACTTGAGAACTCTTTATAAACTTTCAAGTTAGGTGATGGTAGCAGCTGTATTTATGCAATTTATTGTTTTTGTGAAAAAATAAAGAAAGATTTTCTCTTTTCTCTTCAACAATATGGTAAAATTGCTGAATTAAAGGAATGATCTCAAGCTCACATTCCAGATGGTTTTCAAAGGGATCAAGCTGGCTGACCAATATTGACAAGATGATGAAACAAAATATTAGTTAGCATAATGCAAATAAAAAATCCTTGTTTTTGGTCCCAAGAAAGCAAAGCCTCAGATACCAAAAAAAAAAGTTAAAAACAGTGTGGGGTTAAGGGTTTTGCTCAGGAACCCAGAGTGGAGGCTGTGGGGATTAAACCGGCTACTTGCTAATCACTCAACTGACTACAACTAACTAACCATAAGGGTAAGGACCACACAGCATCTGAGGAAAATCTGTGTTTTTTTTTCCTGAATTTGAACCTAAACTTCTTTTTTTATGGCACTAGGGGCTCAATTATTGTAAAGTGGGCTGGAGAGGACCACTGGAAACCCATACATGGGTCATGCGCACTAACCACTGCACCACGGAAGCAAGGTCGACTTGAAGCCAAACTTTGACATCCACATGAAGCATTGCGAGAATAAAAGCTGCTTCTCCTCCAAAAACATGTTGCTGCCAAATCCTAACACCAAAAAATAATAATTGTATCACCCCAGTTCTTAAATCACAACAATAGCTTCCTGTTTGTACAATAACTTGTTTAAAAACCTTAGAATTTGTCCATGAAGCACTAAAGGGCCTGAAAACCATTCTAAGGTATTTGTTGAATTTAAGGCATGCTGACCCATCAGGTCAGCAGAGTCCTGCTTACTTTGAATTAACAGGACCATAACTAAAAGAGGAGAGACATCATTTAGTTTCTATGATTCTCAGCCTTGGAACAAACTCCCTGAAAAACTTAGATGCACAAAAACTGTTGGGTCCTTTAAACCAAAAAAATAAGACTTATGGTTTAGAGCAGCTCTTGAACAAATATTTAAAGTCGAGCACTTTGGATTGCATTTGCTAACAATGGAGTTATGTAAAAATAACTTGAATCACTTTTTAAAATGAACAATATGTTTGTAATTTAACCAAATATCACTGGAAATGCATGTATACATTTGAAACTCTTGGTATTGTTTGGAAATATATAGATTAGACAGGTTCTGCAAGAAAGTTACGTTTTTGTTCCAAGGTTTGCTTTAAAAAACATTGAAATTTTTTGCGTCATCGTCTGTTCACCTTGTCAAAAAGAAAACGCTCAAATATATTTCAAAGAAGCCGAATTTAATGACATTCGTCTACTAATTCTAAGGTGAGCAAATCTATACTTTTTTCAGTACTGTATATAATTTCTACCAGTGTATATAGTCAGGCCGTAAGCAAAATCGGTGTTGCGTAGGACTGTTCCCCTCAGGAGGATATGCTCGTTGTCCAGGAAGAAGCACTCTCCTTGCCAATGAAGCTGCCCTCTGAAAGTGTACAGACGATTGTTGGGCTCCTCGCAGAGCAAAACACCTATATAAAGAAATGTTCACTGATTAAATAACATTTTTCTATCAAATAAGAACAACTTGGATCTGTAGTCAAAATAAAAAAAAGAAATACTTATTCACCATTAAAGGCTCCAAGGGCCTCCTCTGAGGGGTGAGAGGTCAGCTCATTGTGTGTTGCTTTTAGTGCCTGCCGGTACTTAAGGTTGGTCTCACTTAGGGAAGAAAAAAAAAGTTCTTCAAAATAAAGTCTTAAATGAATGATGAACAGGATTTGTTTGGGGTGAAAAATGTTTCCAGTTTCAGGATTCACAATGGTAAAAAATCAGATGTTGCTAAAACATCATCCTCCAAATGTATCAACATACCTGGTAAAGATGGGTAAAGTCTACAAATATATTACTTAATAGTAATAAGTAATAGTATATTACTGGTAAATTAGTGAAATTGTAAATATTTCTTTTTAAAAAAATTTAAAACTTTAAGCCTAAATTTTTCTAAAGGGAAAAAATCCAAAGTTAGGGAAAAGTGTACATTTATCTATTATGATTTCATTGGTGAAATTATATATATAAAAAATTAATTAAACATGTGTTATCTATTGATTATTTTCAGCCTGGTTCTGCTGGAGGGTTCTTCTGGTTAACTGGGATTTTTTTTTTCGCTCCACTGTCACTGCATGCATGCTCAGTCTGAGCGATTGCTGAAAAGTCAACAACAAAATTTAAGAGAAAATTGTCTCTGCAAGTTCTTTCAGGAGGATTTTGTCTTGCAATTCAATGACTGGATGCAATCAATTGGTTTTCCTTGACAGAAACTTTTAACCAGTCAGACTGTATTGCCTCTGTAAAGTGCCTTGAGATGACAGCTGTGAATTGGCGCTATGTGTATAAACTGAATTAACCTGAAATGTTAAGCGTTAGAAGACACACAGGATATACTGTAGGCTACTTTTTAGTTGTTTATAAATATGCAGCAGGAACAGATTTCACTTTAAAACGGGAAGATGCCATTTAAGAAAGGCAAATATGTGATAATTTTTAAGAAAACAAAATAAAAAAATAGCTTCATACTAATACCTATTCTTAAAACGATTATTCTATTTTACTTCGGTAATAATGTCCCTGGCAGAATTAGGAATTGGACAAGGATGCAAGATTTCTTTTGTTGTTTTTCTTTTCCAAAATAAATAATCAAGAGGATGAAAAGAAACATGAAATATTTTTTAAAGCTCTTCCCTTGGGAGGCATGCCACAACAACAACAAAACAACCAACTTATAAAATCTCAGTCCTACTTTTCTAAACCTGTATGTACCAAAATGTAAGGCTTCTGGAAAAACTCTAGCTGGAACAATGCACTTGCATCGTTTACTTCTTAAACATGCAGTTTTGGCAACAAGCACTCATTGTGCAACTTGTGTAAAACAAAGTACGCTGCAAAATACGATCTAGAAATAAGTAAAACATTTCTTAAATCAAGTGTATTTCCCCTCAATTTTAGTAGATAAACAAGATGATTTGCCAATTCAATGAGTATTTTTACTCTTAAAATAAGACAATTAGATAATATACCCTTGTAATTAGACAATTCAGTAGCTTTTTCTTATTTTAAATTTAAATTGTCTTGTTCCATTGGCAAAGTACCTCACTTAACTCCTCAATTCAAGACAAAATGCACTTATTTTAAGAAAAAATTACTTATTTAGATTTCAGTGTTTTGCAGTGTATCAATATTTTTAAGATACCTCACTGTTAAGCATATTGGAGGATCTGTAATGCTGCTGATTTACTTCTTCAATGGGCTATTTGGACCTTGTCAAAATCTCCATTAGTCCAAGTCGTACAACCGAGCCTTTGTTTTGACAGTATGCCAGGGAGAAAAAAAATATATGTCTATATATCTTACCATTGCAAACATGCATGTTCCAAAGACCTTAATAGAATAGCTGGCATCTACCTTTTCAAACATCAAAACACTAGCCTCTGACAGGAAACTGTAACTGATCATCAGTTAGTCTTTCAAAAAGTGGATGATCTAAAACACACTGGGAAATTAACAGAAATTAATAAGACACAAATAAACCTTTCATAGTTTAACAATCTTTAGACCTAAATCTTATAGGGATGGGTTGCCTGAAGAGGAGGGAGCATGACAGAGGAATCTAATGATTTAAAAAAGAACATCAGGAATAAAGGGAAATGGTCCCTGTGTATGCTTCAACCAACTAAAGTGCTGACTCATTGGCAAAATGTGTCTGTATTATGCAAATTTACCTTCCTATCTATACAAACTAGGAGGCTTGTAAGGTGCATAAAACAAATCCTCAGAGTTCATTTCAAGAACCACTGCTAACCTTGAGTGAGAATATACCCCAACAAAACATGGATTTGTTCTAATGCTTTTTAATGGTGTTTAGCAGGAGTAATGTACATTGTTGAGGGTGCTGCATGTCTATAATTCTTGTTTTTGTTTTCTTTTCTTTGAAAGCACTTCTGTTATAGTTTCCCATATTGATTGAGTTTCTGTATTTGATTCTGATTTGTGTGTACTTAGTGTTACTTATGTTGCTGTCAACAATTGGCTTTGCATTTAAAATAAAAAGAACAAAAAAAAAAAAACCCTCAACTACTTTATCTATAAACATTTCAGAATGTGTTTCAAAAGCTGATAATTAAATATATGGATCAAGTTGGACAATTTCTCACAGCAGCTTTAGCAAACAAATTCACTAGTTTTCTACATTTTGTTACCCATCGATATCAGCCGTCTCCACATAACACAAACTATGAGGCTCTGAAGTGGAAAGCAGAAGAAGATCAGCCTGGGAAGAGAGAAAGAAGTGTAAATAGTTTCAAAAAGCAAATAGAAGTGTTTTGGTGCAGAAATGTTTTTACCCCAAGTTACTATAACTCAATGCAAACTTCAAACACAGAGGCATAAAGTCTTTACACTTGTATAACATTCTTTACACTCTGATTGAACCAAAGGCAAATCAAATAGTTTTTGGAAGAAAAAAAAAAAACAACCAAACAAAACTAAAATTGAATTTCATTTCTTATTTTCCTTGATTTACAGGCTCACAGGGATGACTTGGTCTTTGTGGATCCGCAGCACATCTCCAACACACAGATCTTTCCACTGTGCTGTTTTAAAACTGGAAGAAAAACAAGAAATTTTTATAAAAAAATTGACATTTTAATTAGTTATATTTCATCCAGAGTGACAGAAGGTATAAGCCCAGTTGCAACCCTATCAGGATTAATCAGTAATAGCAAAAATAAAAGTTTGCTTGCCATTTTCTAATTTAATTGATATCTCCTCTGAAACATATAGGTTTAAAGCTGTCTGGTTACACATTTTGATGCATTATCCAACTTCTATATATAAACATCTTTAGAGACAAAAATCTGCAAGAATTATGACATTTTTGCTGATATTATGTCTATGTAAACCTTTCATTTGAACTGTAAGAACATGTTTGTCACAGTCCTCTGATTTTCTCTGAATTTACTTTGTGTTCTGCACTCCTCTGATTCACAAAAGAACCATTTAGGGATTCACTCATTTACACTTCATCAGGGATTCATTAGTGGACTGTTTCAAAGCGATGCTGTACTGACTCCTGCGAGAATAACCCACTGCCTTTGTCCTCACCTCTGGGAGATGAGTATGTCACAGGGTCGGGAGTTAATCTCTGAGTCAGAGCGTCGCCTTGCCTGCACCGGGTAGAGAGACAGACAGGTGGGAAGAGTGAAAGAGAGCATTAGAGGGAAGCTGGAAACTGGCGGAAAAGATAGGAGTTTGGAGTGATGGACAAGGAGCAAGTGAGAGGGAATGAGGGCGGCCATGAAAGGCTGAACAGGAGAAAGGAGAAAGGAGAGATGCCATTACGAGGCTCTACAGTGACACCAGCTGGGAGATTTACACCTTCCACTAAATGATTAGTCAATAAAGAGGGGTCAAGCAAGCGTTTCACCCAGAGCTGTTAACGACCGTAACTCAGTGATGCACTTAACCAGAGAATTCTCCATGCAAAACATCACGCCTGCATTTAAAAGAAAAAGCTTTAATGATAGGAAAGAAAATTAATGCCATGAGGATGACTGCTTCTGTCAATGCGAAGAGGACAAGGAGTCGATGAGGACAATGAAGGAGAAGAAAAAGGGAGGACACACCAGCTTGAGTATCAAGAGAATAAAAGACTTAAATAAAAGACCAGACTTAACATGAATACAGCAAAGCTTTGTTTTGTCTCTATCATTCCTTTTTGGACAAGAAACATTAAACTTAGCTGGTTTGTCACTAATCGGTCATCTCACCATGTCACTGACTAGATCTTTGAGTCCCCTCACAGAAAGCACGATGAAGAGTGGAATGACGGTGATGTACCAAGGTATGGAGGAGATGGCAGGGACACACTGGAAATAACAATTACATTTGAGATAAAATAAAGATAAAATCTAGATGTTTAATTCTGTTATAAGAATAGCAAGAGAAAAAGTAATACATTACTAACAAAAAAAAGTTACTGAGCAGAATATATGGCAGATGTATTGTTCAGCGGTTTGCAAAAGAACTCACACCACTTCTACCTTTTCCATTTCTTGTATGGTTCTAATACTACCCTCAGGCTATTTGATGTGGATTACATGGGATTGATATGACAGCATTAGGCTGTTTGAAGCCATAGAACGGATAAAGATGAATGGATTTAATATTTTAAAAAGAGTTTGAAACCTGTAAATTAAGGTTTCAAACTCTTTTTAAAACCCATTTTAAAAAGAGTTTGAAACCATTTTTGAGGTTTTACCTCACAAAAAGTGCAAATGAAATTCTATGAAGACTGTGATTATGTCATGAGAAAATACATTAAAACGTAAATGCGGGCCAAGTACTTCTGCACTGCACTCTCTGATATCTTTGCATAAAGTGAAACAGATATTAATCTGAAGCCCAGCACACTGCAGAATGCTTCATTTAAATTCAAAATGGAGTGAAAGGGGACAGCAGAGGCTTCATCTGACCTGCAACACCACCATGAGGAGGAAGTAGACATTAGCAGCACGCTGGAACTGCTCATATAGTGTCAGGGGCAAGAAAGTCAGGGGGGAGTACTTGTAGCTGCGCACCACATTGTCCTAGCAACAAAACAAAAGAAAAAAAACAAAAAAACAGAGGGTTAGACAACAGAGAACATAAATCAAAACACATGGAAAAATGTGGCCAGTGACCCTACCGAAGCAGAGACTTACTGAGTATCGTCCCCAGGTGAAGCACAGGAAAGATTTTTTCTGCTTGTGTTTATGGTGGTGACGGCTGTTTGCCTTCACTTCCCATGTTAAGCCTGTTAGACGAGTTTTTTTCTTTGTATTAGAGACTTTTTTCATACAGTTCCTGTAAATATTTTAGTATAAATCCATGCTTATCCTTTTGTATAATATGCATGATATACAGTATGTTAAAAAAACAACACTGAATCAAATTAAGTACAAAGGCATCATACTTTGAACTGCTTATAGACTAAACCCTCATTTATGGCTTATAATCAAATTAATTTACTGAAAGATCATCTCCTAAAAGTAAGAATTCATGAGTGTGGATAAACCCAGACATACTGAATGTTCTGATAGACAATGATAAACAGAACACAGAAAGCAAGGAAAACAAAGAAAAAAAGGTACCAGATTCAGTATCTTCTTTGGCCATCATGCTCCACAGCGTCAGACATTTGCTGCCCTCAGGTAATGCTGCAATGAGCGGAAAACCAGATGTAATCAAGTCTGTTTGGTTTTGTAGTTTTTTTTACCTCACTGCTTATTTTTAACATTTTTACCTCTACTGTAACATATTTACTAGAATGTTGTTGCTACTGAGTTCCCTACCAGGAGTCAGTTTAGCTCAATTTCTGACTGTTTAAAAAAAAAACATAAACAAAATGTTACTATGTTGAACTAAAGACTAACCTGGCAGCCCCTCTTGTGTGTTGAACTACAAAGAAATGAAGCAGCTTTCTCAGTTAAACTTGAAAGAGGCAAATTAGGTGTGAAACAAATCAGTTTAAAATCAGGCAGTTCAATTTAACCTGCAAACCAAATAATAATCAAAATGTGAGTTATTCTGCATTGTTTGTAAGAGAAATAATCTGAGATTACTTACGTGGACTGTTTGCTTAAGTCCTTGCTTCTCTATGGCAGTGAGATAGCTGCACCGTAATTCACAAAGCTCCACAGGGAGAGATTAACATGACTGTTTTTAAAGCAATTCTGAATCCCCTTTTTGCATAATGCAAATCATGTTTCAATTCATTTCTCTCAACATCATGTGCACCATGTTCCCTCCAGGTGCGCACTTCAGGATTACACAATGTAATTTCCATTCACCTGGGGGAAGAAAAACATCAGGAGGAGGAGCTCTGTATCTTTTAACCTGTCAGATATCAGAGATCTGCTTAATGAAATTGAAGTTTTACGGTCACCAGCTTAAATATCTATGTCAGTTCTAATGTGTCATGGTCCATGTTTGAAAGACTGAAATATTAACCCACAGTAACTGAATATTAACAGACCTAAATCTCTTAGAAATGTCTTAGAAAGTATTTCCGGCAATGTGATAAGGGTCCTTTTGTAAAGTGGAAGCACTGGGAGTATTGGTTAACAATTATGTGAAAGCTGTAAAAGCTTAAACCAGGCAAACCTTTGCTACTCTTTACAGCTTTTCCTATTTGTTTTTATATATTTAACAGTAATGTTAAATATATTGTTTAAAGGAAAACTTTCTTATGACCTCTTTCAAATGTATAATAAAATTATAAAATTGAAACAAAAAAAAAATAGATTTAGTTCTATTTCTTGTGGTATATGTTGCACATATATAATATTTCCAAATTAGCAAGCTGGATTTATTTTCTTAAATTAAATAAATCTGTAAGTTATAAAAGGTAATAAGAATTTATATTTCTCTATGAATCTAATGCCACCTGGTGGAGACAAGTAAAAACTGCAGTTTAACTATCAAACAGGGGTCAAAAAGGCTACATTTGTAAACAATGGCAGTGCTGAAGAGAAAAAAAAAACAGTTTGCTGAATTTATGCTTGTCAAATGACAGTTAAATGTACTATTTGTGGTTTCATATCTCTTTGTCTCATTTCTTTTCCCTGAGTGAGGTTGCCCCCCACAAAGGCCACACACCAACACCTGAACGTGTGCGCATCTACGTCTTATATGTGTCTGCACGTGAATGCGCGTGCATATCTAGGGCGATCTTTTCCTATCTATTTTTACAGCTGGGTTGTGCAGCAGAGTGGTTAGGGTAACGTACTAGTGGTGTGGCACTGGTGCTCTCAGACCTCTGCAATAAAAATGAGAGTCGATAGGCCAAACTTTTCCCCCACAGTTTAACCGTTGCCCAACATCTCAGACAAACCCCATAACCAATGGACAAGAAGCAAAATTATACAGTGACAATTGTGGTGGCAGGTGGGACTGAGCAGGGTGGTGGGTTCTCCAGTATGTGAAGGGCATAGGCTGCTGTTAAAGGAAGGCTTGTTGTCTTACCGGCAATATGTATGTTTAAAGTAATTCCATGTTATTTTCAATTTCTATATGTCACAATATAAAATTAATTATTTGGTAGAACATCAGTGACATGTATATTATATGCAATGCCTTGCAAAAACATCCATACCCTTTGACATTTTCTAAATTTTTCACTTTACAGCAACAAATTTCCTTTGGAATTTTATCTCATAAATCAATGCTAAGTGATGCATAATGGTGAAGTAAAAGACTGAAAAGTTCATCTTATAATAACCAAAACAATGAGAACAGACTGATCTTGAACAATGATGATTTATTTACAGATTTGTGGATCATCTATCCACTGGTGTGCTCAAAAGCAACTGGACATAAACTGTTTGACTTCTTACCCTTTCTTCTGTGATATATAGCACACTTTACAAAAATCAGACCAAAGCTCTAATTCAACCCCGCTTTCCTATTTTGTAAAATACACTACATACATACATACGTACGTATTCTTTTTTTCTCTTACTCACTTGAGTGTGATAGAATGTGCCCAGTCCTGGGTCTATCCTGCAGCTTTCCCAATGCAGATGGATATGGAAATCCCAGCAATAACCCCTTCAGACTTCAATGAACCTCTTTCATAGGATGAATTGAGAAAAAAAAAGAAACATTTGCTGTATAATAATATTAACTGTAGTGTTAGCCTATGCTCTCTCTGCAGAGATTAAGATTGACAAGATAAGCCATGGTTTATGCTACTTTACACAAATAAATTATTCATGCTAACTATGTAGCTCAGGTTACATTTATCATTCACCAAAGAATAAGCTATACGTAGAGTTTGGGGTTTGTTATTCAAGTCAATAGTTAAATTCGACGTTGTATTTCTTATTAAATATTTTGTCTTTTTCTTGTCTTTTTCAATTTTAATGTCAGCCTCCTAAGCTATGATGTAAACATTTCATTGCAAATGTAATTACACTTTTTTACATTTTGTCACATCACAACCATAAACTTTCATTTATCAAATGTCTTGGTTGTGATGTGCCTGTTTTTTTATAGAAAGCTATTGGGGAACAGTACCAAGCAGTTTGCACCAACAAACTTCAGCCAATTGGTACCTTGAAGGTAGCGATTTGATTCCTGGGTGCTATACCTAGTGGTAACTTTTAGCTTATTTTTTTTACTTTCTTTGTGCTGAACCAATTTTTGCTTATCTATTCTGAAGATGTGGGTAACAGTTACATAGGATGCAGGGGTTTACCCAGTGACCAGAGGGTTTAAAACTCCAGCTCTGTCTGTCCCTGTCCTCAGGTAAAACATTTCAACTACATTCCCTACTAATGGTGGTCAGAGGGCCCCTGTGCTACAGCTCTGCCCCAGAGCAGCTGTGTGTATGTAGCCTGCCACCATCAGTGTCTGAATGTATACTAATGGAAGAATAACTCCATGTAGTGTAAAGCCCTTTAGAGTTAACTGACTTTAAAAGGTGCCATGTAAACACAGGTCATTTACAGAGATTAACCAAATGCTTTACATACGGTCAAATTATCTTCCCATGCCTTTTTCTGGAATGACTGAAAGGTTTCTTGAATCAACACCTCTGATCTCATCGTGCAGTTATCATGTGGACATGATGATAAACTGCCAGCAGATTCTATTTCCTGGAACTTCCAAGCCTTTGCCTTAAATACGCACAATAAAATACTGTCACATCGCTCACTCCTCACAAAGATCTTGAACTGCTCATTTCTTCTCATTATCAAACCCGAACCTCTAAAGAGTAGGATTGAATCTGATGCAGGTTAAACTCTTTAGCAACAGATGTTTTATATGCTATCACTTTATCTTTACATGTTTACTTTTTACATGGTCTTTGTGGTGTTGGACCAGTAATATCTAAAAATTTCCAAAGTGTCTGTGACTAATCCCTATATGACCACTTTTCTGTTACTTTTGAAAGCATAGTTAATGACTCAGTTAACCAAGTAGACATCACTTTTTTTTCAAACTCTCTTGATGAGCTGGTAGATAACTTTTCTTCTAAAATCTCAGGCATCATTAATTCAATTGCTCCAAATAAATTAAAGGTTCTTTGGGGAAAAAGATAGGTCTGAGTCGAGTAGTGCTCCACCAATCACAAATCAGAAAAGGGAGTATAAAAAAGCAGATCTATAAAGAGAAACTTTACAAATATAACCTGCCACTGAAAAAATTCAAGACAATATTGTATCTTTGAGATCATTAGCAACAAGTCTTGTGTTTTATTTGCCACAGTCAAAGAATTTGCTAACTTCTTCACTGAAAATACATAAAAGACTAGAGAAGCAATTTGTACATCCATACTAAGACCATTACCAAAGCTTTCCATCACTAGAGCTGATCTTGACAAGATTTTCCAATTTAACCAACTTCAATAATGTGGAAGAAATTATACACCAACCAATCTATTCTTCCGGCTATCTGACTTTTTATCCACAGCTTCCTGTAAGAAAGCTTTGCTTGTCAAAACCTCCTGATTTAACACAAATAATAAACATGTCCCTTTTGTGAAGTGCTTTTCCCAAGTTGAAAAATAGCTTCTTTGACAAGTTTCTACTGTAGAACTACAGGCCTATCTCAAACCTTTAGTACATCAGTGAGATTAAAGAAAAGGCTGTTTAGCACTTAAACAACTTCATAAGAATTATCAGTTGCTTTGATGTCTTCCAGTCAGGCTGTCAAGTACACCACAGTAGAAAGGCTGCCTTTGTCAATGTGTTCAATGACATTCGTATACGGTAAATGCAGACTGTGAAGGAACCACAGCGGTGGCGTTATTCGACCTTAATGAAGCATTCTACACTGTTGATCACTTTGGTTTTTTTTTTTAGAATGTTTGGAAAACAGCATTAGCCTTTCTAATAGAGAACTGGACTGAATTAAATCCTAAATGGAGGATGGGGGCATTTTTGGTGTCAATGGGTGACTTTAAAAATAACAAAGATAATAAAAAAGTTATAAAAAAGTTAAAAGGAAAATGTAACCACAAAAATGACATGTGATGTTCCCCAAGGGTCCATCTTAAGACCCCTTTTATTCAATATCTACATGCTCCCCCAACTCAGATCTTAATAAAAAAAAAAAAAAGTAAATAGAAAAAAAACAAAAGTAATAGTTTTTGGACCACCGAACCATCAGAGGCACATAAACACAGTAATAAAGTCAGCCTTCTACTGTATCACCTAAAGCAGGGTTTCTTAATGCTGGCCTTCAGGGCCCACTTTCTTTCATGTTTTAGATGTTTCTAATTAAAATTTTCGCATTACCTCCTAAACAGCCATGAAATGCTGCAAAAGCATTTTCATTCAGACAAGGGGTTTGGAGGCAGGGAAACACCTGAAACAGACAGTGGGCCCTGAGGACTGAGGAGGAAAGCCTGACATGAAGAACATCTCAGGGATTAATGGACTGCTGTCTTAGCAGATTTTTACAACTAAATTCATGTATGAATTCTTTGTAAAATTGTTTAAAGCAACAGTAATAGGTCAGCCTAAAAGATCAGCAGCTCATCTAGAATGCTGCTGCCCGTGTCCTCACTATAACTGAGAAAGTGGAGCACACCATTGCAACTGAAAAGTTGTTACATTGTCCAACTGTATCTCAGAGAATAAACTTCAAAATACTTCTGTTAATCTATAAACCACCGGATAGCTTAGTGCCAAAACACATTACAGACTTACTGTCAGTGTGTCAACTGTGCAGACCTCTCGGGTCTTCTGGCTCTAAGCTAGTCTTCATACCCATCACTGAAATCCTAGGTTGCTTTAAAATGAGAACAACATTTCTCCAGAGACC